CATTGGTGAACTGGAAGTCTGTCCTTGTGTCTTGCTTAAGTGCTTTCTCATTTTAATTTTTGTTGTCAGACTGTCCTTTGTTTAATCTCTGGATTATCACCCAAATCTTCCTGATATAGTTGCACCCTAGCTTCTGTGTCTCTAACGACCCACAGACATTCTCATCTTCATAACATCAGAGAAAACAGCTCATCAAATCAATGGCAATGCTTTACCCCAACTGATACAATCAGCAACACATTAAGATCAAGCACAACTTGGACCCTGACCACCTGTGGTAGTCACTAGTCTATCACCCTTAAATCATTTGAATTAAATTGAACTCAAGAAGCAGTCCAGAACATGTCTGCAGTGAACAAACTTTTCAATAGAGTATATTTACCATTTAATGGCACAGACAGAGTGAGGATGCAAGACCCCTGACCTCAGTTAGCTGATTGCTGAACCCCATGATGCTGAATGACCTCGGGCTGCAAGGCCCAGGTTGAGTTCCCCACTCTTCTGAATGGTTGAACTCCGTAATGTTCTATTACAGGTTTCCCACGCCCTTTCTTTAAAGATGTTCAAAGTTGGGAACTCAGAAAAATACCCTTGATGACCACCTCTGTCTTTGCAGAGTGGGTCCAGAGACTTGCACAGTCAGGAGGTCTGAGAGTGTGTGGGGGGCGGGGGATTATGGGGGTTCAGGGGCACCCGCGCAGCTACCTTCCCGGCGCTTGAGCGATGGCGGCTGGGTCGATAGCAGGCGTGGTTCTCCTTCCTGCGGTGGATTTGGCACGGCCTACCTCCTGGCGCTTGAGCGATGGTGGCTGGGTCGGGAGCAGGCGTGGTTCTCCTCCCTTGTTTCTTTTAATTATATTAATCTATAGCAGTTTCCCCCTTTTAAAATCTTTTTCTTTTTTTTTCCTGATACTGGGGATCAAACTCAGTACTTTGGGCTGGCCATGCAGGTGCAGTGCCCCTGAGCCACATCCTGGCCCTTCCTTTTTAAATCTTGACACTGTTCTTCATTGTTCTAGGTTGTTTGTCCTATATACTGTAGTTGTCTTGGTAGTTCTTTAACTTGCTCCTTTTTTTTCCTATATTTTCTGTAAATGGAAATTAACTGTATACTGGAAACTGGATTAGGTTCAGCTTTTTTGAGAGGCAAGAAGGGACAGGACAAGCAAATATTTGGTTTTGCCATTCTTAGTCATGCTAAATTGATAAGTAGCTTCCAAGGGACATTCTATCCTATTCCTTCCAACTTCCCTTTCAGCCTTAAACTGATGGGTTTATCCATCAATAAATTGTTTCCTACATCAGATAATTTCTTGAAATGGTGATTTTTTTTCTAGGACCTTCATTTCTTCCATATTTAGTAGCTCCAATCTTCCAGAACGAAGAACTTCCTTTCAACTAAAGCTTCCAACTAAGTAGCTATAGGGCCATGGATTTAGCTCAGTGGTTCCACAGCCTGCCTTGCAAGTGCAAGGTCCTGAGTTCGATCCCTGGTACAAAACAAAACAACAAAAAAAAAAAAAACAAAAAACAAAACAAAAATAACTAGGTAGCTTAAAGCATATAATATATACAGGAAAAACTGATTACTTTTTGATTGTCAATTTTTAGAGTAAGAGTTTTCAGTGAGGATATTTTTGAATAAAAGTTTTCATTGTGTTACAGTTTATGGTTTCACAGGAATGTTTAATGTATGGAAAGTCTGATTAACAAGTAAGTTTGATCATCTCTTATCTAAAATTCTGAATCTCAAATGCTACAGCATGTGAAACTTTATGAGGGTTCTTTTGGCGTTCAAAAAGTTTCAGCTGGGCCTGGGATTTAGCTCAGTGGTTCTGCCACCTGCCTCACAAGCCCAAGGTCCTGAGTTCGATCCCTGGTACCAAAACAAAACAAAAAGTTTCAGCTCCTAGAGCATTGTGCATTTCAGACTTTTCAGATAAGGGATGTCCAACCTATAAAATCTATGCCAATATTCCAAAATCTAAAAATCTCTGAAATCTGAACACTTCTGGTCTCAAGCATTTCACATAAGAGATACTTAATTGCCAGGCCTGGTGGCGCACGCCTATAATCCCAGCACTCGGGAGGCTGAGGCAGGAGAATCGCTGTGAGTTTGAGACCAGCCTGGGCAACAAAGTGAGTTCCAAGTCAGTCTCAACTACATAGTGAGACCCTGTCTCAATAAAAAGAGATAATCTATGTTTATTGTGTGGCATTCTAGGATTTCTCCAAATATATTTGAGGGGGGCATTAAAATCTCAAAAAAAATATTTTTGTATTTTAATGCCATAGAATATTGTTGAACAGCTCAAATGATGATGTTACAATTTCAAAAGTGTTTGGAGTTATTGACCTAAAGTTAAACAAGATTCAGTAATAAATGGAACAAATAAAGACTATTTCATTAAAATATCTATGCTGTATGAATTATTTATACTTGCTAAATGTAATGGAGATTTCTGGATGAACTATAGTATTGATTTTCTTTTCAGTATAATTAGTACAAACCTTTTCAAGGTAATCATATCTAGCAATCATTAGACCGTTTGTGTATGTGTGTGTTGGTAGTACTGGGAACGGAACCCAGTGGAATTCCACCACTTAGCTACATCTCCAGCGTTTTTAATTTTTTGACTAAGGGTTTTTGCTAAGTTGCCTAAGCTAGCCCTGCATTTGCTATCCTTTTGCGCCAACCTTGAGTACCTGGAATTACAGGCATTTATCACTATTCTCATTAGACATTTTAGTAGCTACAAGCATATTATTCAGGATGTAAATTACTCTTTTCAACACTTACTAAATAGCTTTAAATTCCAGTCACCATTCTGAGACAATCTATTTTCTTCCTGTTTATTACTCAAAGAATCTTAATTAATATTATTATATTTTTGGGGGGGGATACTGGGGATCAAACTCAGGACCTTGCGTTTGTCAGGCAGTTGGCGGAACCACTGAGCTAAATCCCCAGCCCAAATCTTAATTATTTTTAAAACATTTATAGTTTGAAAATGCCTTTAAGGTGTCAGTCTATCTCTTAATAGTATTTATCTAAGAAAACCACTCTTTTTTTTTTTTTTTTTGGTATCGGGGATTGAACTTGGGTCCTTGTGCTTGCAAGGCAGGTGGCAGAACCACTAAGCTAAATCCCTGGCCAAAGAAAAACTACTCTTGTTTGGTATTCAAACACTGTTTTCTTAGAAGCTCTAGTCTTTTAGAGCTGCACTGAACCGTGGTATTTAATTATGATTATTTGTGGAAATTGGATAACCTCCCCACACATAAATCAGAGATTTATTTGGTTAATTAGCTACTCCCCTGGATCAGCTCCTTGAATGTGTAACTATCAGACATTAGGAAAATTATTTACTAAAACTTTTAAGTGGGATATATGATCACTATTTATGATTGGAGATAGAACAGAGAGATGATGATAGCATCTTGTTGCTAGCAGCAAGCCAGCACTAATTGATAACACCTGTTTGTAAATTGATTTCTAAATTTCTTTTATATTTAGAAACATCTTCCAAATATGTATTCCACTATCATCATTACTCCTTAACATTTAGAATGTTAAACATCTTATATTTAGCATTTTAAACATCTGTATGAATGTTTTCATTATGTTAAACTTAATAGTTTGAATTCTAAATACTGGGGCTGTAGCTGTAACTCAAGGGGAGAATGCTTGCCTAGCAAATGAGAGGTCCTGGGTTCAATTCCTATCACTGCCAAAGGGAATTCTAAGTCCCAAGAAACCAGTCTTATCATTGCATTTTGCCTTGGCCTTTTACATTTTATCAGAAGTTCATAATTATTTTTCTTACGTTATATACCTGCAGTATATACCTACTCTCGTCATTCACAGTGGCTTGCTGTGACAGTGATTCTCACCTGATAGTATAAGAAATGGCATTGGAATGGGAGATTTTAGTAAAGTTCCATTCTCCTTCCAGCTCCTCTTTGAGAATCATAGTCGTAAGAAATCCAGTCAGTTTAACTGTGGTATTTATTTGGTATATAAAGATTTTCTGTTAAAAAAGTCATACTTCCGCAATTTATTAAATGTATAAATTTTTCTTATTTTTAAAGCATATATGTTCCCATTTACAGATGAACACTTACAATGTGTTCGTAAATCTTCCTTCTCCTTCCATATTTTGAACTATTTAAGACTTGACTATTTCCTCAACGTGTTTTCATTTAACACTGTCTTTCTATTTCAGTAATTTTTACCTTTCTCATAATCTGGGTCTGTTGTAATGTTCCATTCTTTCTTCTACTTCCTGTAAATGAAATTTAGCTCTGACTTGAAGGCTTCATTTGCTGTAAATTAATAAAATAACATGTCCCCAAAATGTCTTCTGAGCTAGTTTGTCCAAACCAGCATCCAGGCTAGAGAATACATGTGGCATTGCTTATGTCTGTGAATTCCCCCACCCTGGGATCGAACTCAGGCCCTTGCTTGAGCTTGCAAGGCAGGCGACAGAACCATTAAGCTAAGTCCCCGACCCCTGCTTTCTCTCTCTCTCTCTCTTTCTCTCTCC